GTAGAGGTCTTTCACTTCTTTTGTTAGATTGGTTCCCAAATATTTTTTTTTTTTGAGTCTATTGTAGATGAGATAGTTTTCCTAATTTTTCTTGCAGTAGATTCATCACTGATGTAGAGAAATGCAATTGATTTATGGGTGTTAATTTTATATCACACTGCTTTGCTGAATTTGTTTATGAGGCAAGTGCTCTACCCCTGAACCACAACCCCAGCCTGATGGTGTTAATTGTTCTTTGAAGGTCTTGTAGAACTCAGCTGAGAATCCATCTGGTCCTGGACATTCTTATTTGATAGGCTTAGATGGCATCTTCTATGTCATTGCCTGAAATTGCTTTGTTTAAATTGTATATGTTCTCCTGATTCAGTTTGGGTAGGCCATATGTCTCTAGAAATTTGTCAATGTCTTCAAGATTTTCTATTTTATTAGAGTACAAATTTTTGAAATCATTTCTGATTATATTCTGTATTTCTGTGGTTTCCATTGTGATGTTTCATTTTTCATCATGAATTTTAGTAATTTGAGTTTTCTTTTTCGTTTTTGTTAGCATGGCTAAGGGTTTATCAATTTTTTTTTATTTTTTCAAAGAACTAACTTTTTGTTTTGTTAATTCTTTGAATTGTTTCTTTTGTTGCAATTTCATTGATTTCAGCTCTGATATTAATTATTTCATGTCTTCTACTGCTTTGGGTGTTGATTTGTTCTTTTTTTCTAGGGATCTAAGATATAATTTTGGTTATTTATTTTGGCTATTTTCTATTCTTTTAATGAATAAGCTCAATGCAGTGAGCTTCCTCTTAGTACTGCTTCATAGTGTCCCAGACACTTTGATCTGGTATATCACTATTCTCATTTACCTCTAAGTATTCTTTTATTTCATCCCTGATTTCTTCTACTATCCACTGGTCATTCAATAGTGTATTATTTAATCTCCAGGTGTTAAGAGTAGCTTCTATTTTTTAATTTTATCATTGATTTCTAATTTCATTCCTTTAGGATCTGATAGAATCCAAGGTATTATCTCTATTTTTTTGTGTTTGCTAAGAGTTGATTTTTAGCATAATATATGGTCTATTTTGGAGAAGGATCCATGTGGTGCTGAGTATAAAGTGTATTCAATCATTGATGGATGAAATATTCTATATATGTCTATGAAGTCTAAATTATTGATTGTATTATTTAGTTCCATAGTTTCTTTGTTTAGTTTTTGTTTGCAGGATCTATTCAGTTCTAAAATAGGTATGTGAAAGCCACCCAGTATTATTGTGCTGTGGTCTATTTGATTCTTGACATCATGAGGGGTTTGTTTGATGTAGGTAGATGCTCCATTGTATGGGGCATAAATATTTATAATTGTTATGACTTGTTGATGTATAATTCCCTTAAGCAGTGTAAAATGTTCTTCTTTATTCTTTCTGATTAACTTTGACTTGAAGTCCACTTTATCTGACATGAGGATATAAACCCCTACTTTTTTACAAGATCCATGTGAGTGGTATATTTTTTCCCCTCCTTTACCCTTCAGTCTGTTGATGTCTTTGCCTATAAAGTGAGTCTCTTGGAGACAAAATATTGCTGGGTCTTATTTTTAATCCAATCTGTCAGTCTATATCTTTTGATTGATGAGTTTAGGCCATTTACACTCAAAGTTATTGATATATGATTTGTACTCCCAGTCATTTTGCTTTACTTATGGTTTTTAATTTTAATTGGTTTCTCCTTTGATTGACTATTCCTTTAGTGTAGTTCCTCCTCTTCCTGGTTCTCACTGTTACTTTTATCTTCATGGAAAATTTTTGTTGGGAATGTTGTGTAAGTGCCGGCTTTCTAGTTGTGAATTCTTTTAACATTTGTTCATCATGGAAGGTTTTTATTTCATCTTCAAATCTGAAGCTTAATTTTTCTAGGTAAAGTATTCTTGGTTGGCATCCATTTTTTTTCAGAGCTTAGTATATATTATTCCAAGACCTCCTAGCTTTGAGGGTCTGAGTTGAGAAAACAGCTGAAATCCAAATTGGTCTCCCTCTAAACGTAATCTGACATTTTTCTCTGGCAGCCTTTAAAATTCTATCCTTATTCTGTATGCTAGGCATTTTCATGATAATGTGCCTTGATGTGGGTCTGTTGTACTTTTGTATATTTAGGGTCCTGTAAGTCTCCTGTATTTGATTTTCCTTTTCTTTAGGTTTGGGAAATTTTCTGACATAACTTCATTGAAAAGGTTGTGCATTCCTTTGGTTTATATCTCTACACCTTTACTATCCTGATAAATCTTAAATTTGGTCCTTTCATTTTATCCCATATTTCTTGGAAGTTCTTTTCATGGTCTCTTAACATCTTTTCTCCATGGTTAACTTTATTTGTCTTCATTGCCTGAAATTCTGTCTTCCAATTGGTCTAGTCTGTTGGTGATGCTTTCTATTGAATTTTTATTTTGTTTTATTGATTCCTTCATTTCAAGGACTTCTTCTTGATTTCTTTTCAGAATCTCTAGCTCTTTATGAAAGTAATCTTTCACCTCCTGAATTTTCTCTCTGATTTCACTCCTTACATTGTTCTTTACCTTGTGGGACAGTTTAATTATATACATTTAAACTCCTTCTCTGACATTTCTCCCACTATGGTGTCAATGGATTCTGTTATTGGGGCATCTTGGATTGTTTGGGGCACTTCATTCCCTTATTTTTTCATGTTTTGCATATCTGCCCACTAGCAGTGTGGATCTGAGGCAATGCAGTTTCTATCCTGTAGACTTAGAGTGTCCCAAAAGGTTTCCAGTACTGTGACATTAAGGGGAATACAAATAATAGCAGCAAGCAATGCAAATAATATACAGCCTTAAACCAAGTATCTCCTACTAAGATACCTATAGTTTTGTCACAATAAACAGAAATGATATGTTCAGTTATTGCCTACAATGAAAACAGTAAGTTTGCAAAGAAGTATACAATTTTAAATAGGAGACAAAGAGAAAACAGGAATGGTGTAGGATGTGATGTTTATGAGGAAGGAGGAGAGAAGACAAAAGTAAAACTTAAAGGAAGAGTGAAAGAGGGAATAGTAGAGGTTACCTGGTAGCAGGAGAAAAGAGAAAGAGAATTTTGGGAAACAGATAAGTGAGAGAAGAAATATAAAGTAAAATTTTAAAATAGAAAATATAAAAATAAAAGAATGCAAAACGAAACTGAAATATAATAATCAGACATCCTAGCCCTCAATAAATGGATGCATGAAAAATAATTAGTTTTCAATGTGAGAGAAAAATGTAAAAGAAAAGGGGAAAAAAGGTCATGATAAATAACTGAACAATTGTTACTGTTGGAGATCAAAAGTTTCTCAGCTTCCCTTCTCAGCACTCAGATGGGGTTATCTGAAGTTTGACACTTACTCCACCCTCAGGATAAATGGGTTGATAGGGTGAGAAGGTTAATCCTGGAGGCAGGGTGTAGGCTTAGGTTTGCTCCAGACTCTTTGCTGTGTGCTAATTGGTCTGGAGATTTTAAATCAGTGCACTTCCAGGGCCCAACAATTCCTGGTCCACATTGGAAGACTACACCTCAGGAATCTCTTTTGGGTTCCACTTGTGTGGTGTATGATCCAGTTCTTAGCCCACTAAGTCACCTATGGACCCCACATTTCCTATATTCTGATTCAGTCTCCAAACTCAATCTTTCCCACCCCCAACCATTTTGAAATTCCCTTCTCTCCCAGCCAGTCCTGTAAGCAGCCAGATTGGAGGGGGAAGTGGAAACCTGGTGGGTTTCCACGACCAGTTGCCCCCTGTGTAACCCTTAATTTTCTCTATGCTTTATTTTCTTCTGGTCACTTAGGCACACACTCTATCATGCAGTATGGGTTGCCTAGGTTGTTTCTTGAGCCAGACTCAGGTCTGCCAGAAATCAGCTCCCCTAGCTTCTGACCCCCTCGTGGTGGCTGCAAAATGGTTCCTTCCACTGCCTTATACATACCACGGGGAGAGATGGTGGCTTTTTCCTGTTCAATGATATTGTGCAGCACACCTTACTGTTTAGTCAGGCAGTGACTCTGATCTCTAAACTATCCGTATCCCAACACACCTCAGTCCTCCTGAGAATGGGGGTCCCGTTAATTCCCTTATGGCTTTACTGCATTTGTGGAGAAACCATTCAGGTTTGTGCTTCCAGTGGCAACTGTGGCTGTGACACAGGGGAGTTCTTGCTTATTTATTATATCCAACCTCCTGAGTCCTCCATCTGTTTTGAGTGTCCAGTATTACATTTCAGTAACGTCCCCCCTAATTTTTGTTTATTCACCCACGTTGCTAAAAAGCTGCCCATCTGCTTTCCTTGGTTTCATGCCACAGACCCACCAGGGAAGTGACCTCTCTATTCCACCATCTTCCTCTCCTTCTATGTAGTGCATCTTATTATTACCATTATATATCCTCTCCTTTTTGGAAAAGGCTCTATCTGATGCAAGCATATAAAATACTGTTGCTGGGTTCCAGGTGCTCCTCCCAAGGCTGTTGTGTGTGTCAACTCATTGAATCATCTTGAGATGTTCCATGAGGTGGATGTTATTTTCATCCCTGTGTTACAGAAACAAAAACTAAGCCCTGGAGAGTTAAGGTCCCATGAGTGCAACCCCACAGTCACTAAGCAGGAAAATCAGGACCTGACTTCAGGGACTTTTAGGAGCCTCTGAAGTGGTGGGTGCCTCCCCAGAAGTAGTAAAAGGGTCTCATGATGGCAAAAAGAATCACAGGCCACCACCTTCCCTGGCCCAGAAAGCCACTCAGTTTTCAAAGGCGTGACTCTGGAGGTACTCCCCAGAAGGTCACTCTGTGCTTGGGACACACTCCTTTCTTAAAACTGGCCCTAAATGTGAATGGCATCTGACCTCTTCCAAGCCCTGGAGTGGCTTTGGAAGGAGTTCACCAGCCCCAGGAGAGCTGCCTTCCACCCCAGTGAATGAGAGTCCCTCCCCTGACGCCTTGTCTCTGCTATATGTCGTCCTTCCAGGGAAGTCCAGCAGAACCTCTGGGCTGATAAAGCGGACACTCTGTCTTTGAAGAACGAAGAGAACTTCTGGGCCACGGGCCACCTCGCCAGCGACTCCAAGTGGAACTGTGTAGCCCACCTGTGCCTGGAGGGCACGGGAACCCCAGCCACCTAGCGCACCTCCCAGAGGGCCGGTGGGAATTGTCCATAGTGCCAAAGTCCTACACTGCATTTTCAATGGGTCCCTGTACATAGTTTGCTCCGCTGCCCGGGCCCCCACCTCTTGCTATACTGGAACTGATTTGTACAATGTGGGAACTTTGTTACCTTTTTAATGGAGGGCCACTTCCTTCCCCAGCACTTCCATTGTAAGGCTTTTTTTCCAGGAAGGGGGACTAACCACATTACTTTTCCCTTTTTTTCTCTTTTTCTGTTTTTATTTTTATTTTATTAACTGGGGGAGGGAGTATTAGTATTAGTGCCATTATAGCTACTGGATTTTAGGTAGGGAGAATTTAATCTTTAAATAATGGTAGTTTGAAATTTGGAAGATTTCTTGGTGGGAAGGACTGAGGTTGGGTCTCTGTCTCAGCTCCAAGTGGGCTTCAGATGTCAGATCTTCCACATCTAACCCATTTCCAGTTCTTCCCTGCTGCCTCGGGTCCCTGCCTTGAGTCACACGCAGGCCTTTTGAACTGCCAGGAGGCGGGAGTCTGACTTCTCAACCCCTTGGCCTCGCTGAGAGACTGGATAGCAGGTGGCTGTCCTCTTTAAGCACCTTTTTTAAATACCAGCAGAAAGGGCTCTCATGATTGTTAACATCACCATTAAACTTACAAAATTCAAAAAAAAAATGATCTTCCTCTTTATATGGTACACAGATGAGAAGTTTTGGTTTTCATTTCTCTTCTCAACTGCCTTTTTGGGTGTGGTGTTTGACAAGATTTCAGCTTGAAGACTCACCATGAATTGATTTTGTGTGTGTGTGTGTGTGTGTGTGTGTGTGTGTGTGTGTGTGTGTTGGGCCAATTTTAGATACCTTTGAGTGCACTTTGGTTTTGTTTTGGTTTTTTGTTTTTGTTTTGTTTTGTTTTGTTTTGTTTTGTTTTTTGTTAGTCCTAACTTTTAAAGGAAAACCAAGAGACATATCCGGTGTAAATGTTGCAATATGAATTATGTTTGCCATCCCTTTTCTGCTCTCCCACCCCCTCCCCATTCAAGTACACTGCACAAATAAAATGCTAGGGAGTTTGAATCAAAACCAGTTTTTCTAACTTGTTGCTCATTTGTTGGAACTCAATAAAGCAAAGACTAAACATTTTTACAACCTTTTCCTCTGTTCCTCATTCTTCATTGCTGCCTGGCTCCCCGGGGGGGGGGGGGGGGTTCAGCCTGGGGTTTCAACTCAGCCACATCCCATTCCAAATTCGTTTGGGGCCACAATTCCACCTTGGGGAGGTCGACATTACAAGCCAGGTTTTAAAAGCAAGAGGCTGTGGCTGGACTCTTCATCACATCTCTGATGCAGAGAAGAAAGTTCTAGGCCTCCCTTCTCCAGGGTCATGGCAAATTAATCCTTCACATACTACGGAGAAGAACAGTGGGGTGGGAATGAGAAGACCTTCAACCCCCAGCTGGCTCTCCTGTGACCCGAGGTAAGTGCCCCTCCCTGGGCTGCTGGTGACTGGACGTTGGAAACTACCATTCCTTGGAGGTTCTATGTTTCTGATAACACTCGCCCAGACCCATCGTCCTCAGAGTCAAACAGGCACAGAATCAGCGGTCTGAGCCGGGATGATTCAGGGGACTGAGAATGTATATGGCTAACAAGGTCCCAAGGAGGTACTGCTGCTTTAGGGACCGCATGTCTAGTTGTTGCATTTTTACAGGGATTTACCCACTTGGGACCATTTTATCTAAAGAAATCATGTCTTGATTCTTCAGATGAAAGAAAAGACTCCACTTTTCAAAATGAAGTAAACACTAAAAAAAAAATTCAGAAGAGCCTGATCCCCCTCCCGAAGACACCCGTGAAGTCCCTTCTCCCTCCTGTGGGCTCCCGTGACACCATCTCTGTCTCTTCTCTTTGCACAGCTTTAGGATTTATGTGATCAATTTATCCATCTCTGCAAAGTGACACCAGGCCCATCGATCTCAGTTGGAGAGATTGATAAACTAGCCACATAATCTCTAAAATCCCTCTAATTCTCCTTACTAATCAGCAAACTTGAACGTAGCTAGCTATTTAAAAATAATAACTAGTTCTTTTTTTTTTTTGGTGGGGGGATACCCAGGATTGAACTCAGGGGTACTCAATCACTGAGCCACATCCCTAGCTCTATTTTGTATTTTATTTAGAGTCAGGGTCTCACTGAGTTACTTAGCACCTCGATTTTGCTGAGGCTGGCTTTGAACTTGCAATCCTTCTGCCTCAGCCTCCCCAGCCACTGGGATTACACACATGCACCACTTTGTCCAGTTTAGTCCTTTTTTTTTTTTTAATTGATTACTTACTATGAATTAGGCTTTGTGGTGAATGCTTTACACTTATTTTCTTTTTTGAATACCTTTATTTTATTTGCTTATTTTTTTATGTGATGCTGAGAATCAAATCCAGTGCCTCACATGCTCTAAGCAAGCACCCTACCACTGAGCTAGCCCCCTTATCTTTCTAACCCTCTGGTACAGTTGTGTCTGTTTTATAGATGAGAAAACAGGTTAGTGAGGTTTTGGAACAGACCCAGTCATGTGGAGGCTAAGTGATTGTCATGGAATTCTACCAACTTTGCCTCGTATGTGTCCTTCCCCAACTTCTTGAAAAACAGCCTCTTTTCTACAGGAACTGCCCTCCCTGTTCTATGAGGCTCAGATGGGACCTGCTGTAGTATATGACCCACACTTGGTTAATCATAATCCCATCTGCTGACCCCAAGGATGGCCTGTGGCCAGGACCAACTGAGCTTCCTGAGAGATGGATGCTGTGAGAAATAAACACAGTCTCTCTGCTTGAATAACTGAGTTAAGATGTGGACTTGGAGCTGATTTCAGCTATTTTCCCAGTCATGGGGAAGATACCTGTCTGCATAAGTTAAGAACTTGGAGAGAAAAGCAACCATTTGAGAATATTGCAACTGTTGGAGGATTATAATGCAGGTCAGCTGCTATAACCAGAAACCTCCAAATGCAGTGTTTCAAACAAAAGAGAAGTTTATTTCTGTTTGGGGCAATAGTCAAGTGTGGGCTGTCAGTCCACACAACTCCCTACATTGCATAGTCCATGAAAGATGTGTGCCTATCTTGTTCCCTTACCAACATCGTGTTCAAACAATGTCTAGCACATAGTAGATGCTCCATAGATATTTGTTGAATGGATGGATAATAAATATACTTTTTATTTTGCAGTATTGGGCATTGAATTCCAGTCCTCACGCATGCAAGCAAGTGCTCTACCATTGAGCTACATCCCCAACACTTGGATGATGAATGAATAATGATGATGGATGGATGGATGGATGGATGGATGGATGGATGGATGGATGGATGGATGGATGGATGGATGATGGGTAGATGAGGAATGTCAGCTCCACAGCCAAACAAAGCCAAGTCTGGGTTCCAGTTCTCCTGATGATCATCTCGTTGGATTTACCTAACTTTTTCAGATTCCTGATTCTTCAGCTGAGACCTGGAGATGATTATACCCACACCACAGGTCTAGTGTGAGGTTCATGGAGTTCATGAGTTCAAAGTGCCAAACACACAGTAAGCATCCCATGCATAATCCTCCCTTCCTGCTACTCTAACCTGCAAGCCACATCAGGCCAGGCAATGTGAAGGCTGTCCCTTTCCTTGCCTGTATAGCACGCTTGTGTGAGGAGGGCAGCCAGGGGAAGTTCAATCCAGGTCTGGGAGATGATATTCCAGACATGTGCCTCTGACATTGCAGATTTTGGCATAGGTAGCAACCCTCTCCTTACCACCCCTAAACTCTCCCCCAAACCCCCAAAATTCCAAAATCCAACTTGCAGTATTGTTATTTTAAAAAATAACAAAAGGTTAGAAGCAGCTTTAGCTGCTCATTTTGTGGCTCCTGCCTGCACTGCCTTCCCCCCTGTGCTCCCAGCTCCAGGACCCCCTCCCCCACCTCATCACCCCCATGCTGTCCTGTCTGTCTAGCCCATCAGTGAATGTCGCCAGCACTTCCCCCTCTGCAGGCGACTGCCTGCCCCTCCTTAACTCCTTCCCCTCCTGCTACTCACCACCCTTGCAGTTAAGCTTGGAACAAATTCTTCAAGCAAAACAATAGAAAAAGCCCTGATAATTGGTGGAAATGAAAACACAGGGAAGACGGTTGTGCTCTCTGAATCACCCAGCAAAATACATCAAGCTGACTTTGCCCACTAGGAATGACTTAAGAGTGGCAGAAACTGGGAGAGAGGTCCCTAAGGGAACAGGGTTCCTGGTGGGGTAGAAGAGAGCAGTGGCTGGAGGAACCATCTGCTGCCTTTTGTCTGCCCTGTGCTTGCTTTCTTAGTGCTTTCTTGAGGGGATACTCCTCTCCACCCACTCATCTGATTCTGAGAGCTGCCCAACATGATGAGTATCTGCCTCCCCCAGGGGGGAGCCTTGGAACTCCATTACCCTGTTCACTGAGGTTCATCAAGACAAGTAGAGTACCATGCATCAGACCCAAACAGGACCCACCAGGTGCTAGGAGAAAGCACTTCCTTTTCCACCTGGAGCTACCAGAAGCCAAAGCCCTTGCCAGGGAGAGGAAGTCAGTCTATAGGTAGAAAGAATGAGGCTGAAAAACCAACAAAAGAAATTGAGAAACTAGGAGCTATGAAAGGAGAGATGATGATTACGATGATGATGGATGGTGGTGGTGGTAGTGGTGACAATTACAACATCATCTGATTCCCTGGACCCTGCCATTCCTGAGGCCAAATCCTTGGCTTTCTATTTTAATAAAAATAGCATAGTTCCCTTTTTGACATAAGCTAAAAGCCTTTTGAGTTGGATTTCTATCACTAGAAACTCAGAGTTCGGATGGGCTGATGAGATTATAAAATAAAAATCAAAGAAAATATCACTCAGCATTAAAAGAGAATAAAATTATGGCATTTGCAGGCAAATGGATGGAGTTGGGGAATATCATGCTAAGTAAAGTCATTGTTCTCCACCAAAAAAACAAAGACTGAATGTTCTCACTGATAAGTGGATGCTGATCCATAATGGCCAGGGGCGAGGGATGGGGGGATGGGATAAATGGAGGAACTTTGATGGGGTAAAGAGGAGGGAGGGGTGGGGAGAGGGCATGGGGGCAGGAAAGATGGTGGAATAAGGTGGACATCATTACCCTAGGTACATGTGTGACTGCACATGTGGTGTGACGATACATCATGTACAACCAGAGAAATGAAAATTTGTGCTGTGATTGTGTACAATGAACCAAAATGCATTCTGCTGTCATACATGCCTAATTAAAATAAGTTAATGAATATTTTAAAAAATAGAAAATACAACACATATAAAAGAGTTACGTGTGGCTAGTAGCTACACCATTGGATGATGAAGCTCTAAGTCCTTGCTACTCAAGGGTGGCCCCTGGACCTGCAGCAACAGCATCAACCAGGAGCTTGTTGGAAATGCAGAATCTCTGTCCCTGACCCCAGATTGTTGATTCAGAATCTGTAATTTGACGGAAGTTTCAATAAGGTGATTGACATGTTCACTAAAGCTGAAGAAACCCTGTTCTGAAGTCACTGAACAGCTCCTGCCTCAACAATTTCAGCACATTGGTGGGTGGGCAGCAAATATAATAATACGTCTCCTGTCTGGGGACATTGACAATACCCCAACGTCATTCCCCCCTCCTCTGCCCTCCTGCCACTGCTCCCAATAGCCAAACCCAACCACAAGTCCAAGGGTAACTGCTGATCCAGTCCATCAAATGGCCCAGCACACAGGTCATTGTATGAGTTGGACAAAAGGCAGCAAACGCACAACCAACTTGCCATCATGCCCCACTCGACACCCACGGCAAAGGTTAATGATCAATCAAAGTATCTTTGCCTTACAGGCTTCAATAAGTCCTCACAATTCTTAAATTGTCCTCCACCATGAATCTACTAACCTTGAAATGTGAGATGAACTATGTGGTAGATGCCATTAGGTGCCTGGCTAATATCCATCCCCATTCTTCCTTGCTAACAGAACCAAAATATTGCTCAGACAGCCACCCCACCCATCCTCAGGTGAGAGTCTCAATGTCAACAGCTTCCCTTGCAGCTAGGAGTGGCTAATGAGACATAAGCAGGAGGCCACTGCATAC